TTTGCGGGGGATGTGACTGCAGCCCTCGTTGTTTGCGGGGATGGTGGCTGGGTCCGGGTGCTATGTTGTTAGGGAGGAGGGCTTGAGCTGGACGTGTCCGTGGCATCAGTCTCTCCCTCCAGTCTGCTTTTCCATTTTGAGGCGAACACTCTGCCGGGGAGGGCTGTGTCCCGAGCCGACACCTGACCCCAAGGCAGGGGTGCGCCCCTCTTTCCTGCGTGGGTGGGTGCGGGGGGGAGGGGAGGGGTCAGAAGCCGGCCCCCAGGAGGCTCCAGGGACCGCTGCCCAGCCAGCGAGGGAAGGTTTCACTTTCTTCCGCAGTGCCGCGGGGCAGGCTATTTGTTTAAACAACCCCAAAGAAAACCATTTGGCCAAACTGTTAAGTTTCTAAACAGTTTACTTCCCTGGTGTTTAAACAAAGTCGTCCCCGGGCCCTGTGTCTGGACCCAGGGAGGGGTCGCCTGTCTTCCTGCTGGGCGGGCCCGGCGCCCTGCGCCCACTCCAAGGCCAGCTGCTGCTTGCACCTCGCCGCAGACAGCCCCGGAGGTTGCCCCGGTGAGCGTCTGCCGAGCGAGGGGTCCAGGCTCCCTTTGTCGTCTTCTCTCTGCAGCTGCCCCCACCGACCTGGCCCGGGACTGCACAGCCCACGTCTCTGTGTTGGGCTTTGCCTGCTCAGACCTTCAGGCTGACCGTGGCCGGACCGTGGCTCTCTACTGGGGGTCCTGGTCTCTGTGGTTTTTTTTTTTTTTTTTGCAAAGCTCAACTAAAAACCTCAAAGGCTCTGTGGCCCAAGGGGTGTCAGAGGACTCCCCACCCCGGTTTGGAGTCATTCAACACCTACAGATTTATCCCAGCGTTTAATTACGGCCTCAGCCTCAGAGACTTGATTCTAAGAAACGCTGATGATGGGGGTCCCTGATGGTGGGGTGTGCACGAGGCTTCGTATTGACTGGTTACCTGAGGGCCGAGTCTGGGCACACTTCGCCCCTGGTGGCTCCGCGCCCATCAGGGACAGGCTGATGGAATCTGTTGCATCTGTGGTCACAGCCCCATGGATCCCAGAGGCTCCTGCTGGACCCCAGACCCCTAGTTTCAGCCGGCCCCCTTGCAGGTGCCCATGACCCCCCGCTTTCCTCCCAGCACTGGTTCATCAATGGTCTTGCTCACTGAAGGTCTGTGTCCTCAACTGCAGGAGCACCATGTGGGCAATTCCCACATCTCTTCTGCCCACTCCCAACCCCAGCACCGGGTTCGGGGCCTGGCCTGAGGCCGCTGCCCACAAAGCCACTGGTGGAGTGACCAGACCCGCTGGGCCAGTACACTGACGTTGGGCTTCCTGCGTGTGCCAACTCCGGGGACTGAAGTATTCATGGAACCTTTTCCCACTTGCTGCTGTGTGTCCTTGGGTGAGGAGCTTAACCTCTCTGTGCATCGGGGTTCCTCTTCTGTAAAATGGAGCATGAACCCATCTCAGAGGTTGGTGTGAGGATGGTGCTATCTCGGATAACTGTGTCTGTAGGATCATGGGAACAGGGATGGGTGAAACAGGCTCAAGATATGTTTGGAAACCGAGTGTCTGGTTCCCTAAGGAACCAGCATTTTCTGGGCTCTCTCTCCAGCTCCCGTGGGGGCAGATTAAGGCAGAACCCGCCATAGAGTTTGGTTTATGGTTCTCCTTGATGTCAGGGCTAGATGGGGATTCCCATCAGGTCTGGCTGATTCTTCATTCTAAATGAGGAAACCAAGGCCCAGAGAGGGTTAGGGACCTGCTTCACATCACACAGCAGGAGCAGGTCCAGGAAGTTTCTGCCCTGAATCCTCCCTGCTTGTCTTGGGGTATTGGCACCTGCTCTGGCCAGGGCCTTGTGCTGGGGGGCTGCAAAGAGCAGAGCGGGCCATGGGCCAGCATCCCTGTGAGGCAGTTGGGGGGGGGATGCCTGTGTATGTGGTCCCTCTGACCACTTGGAGGGGAGGCAGGAATGGCTTCCTGGAGGAGGAGGCAGCCCGTGACCTGACCCTTGAAAAGCAGGCCTGATGTCACTAGAACGTTTTGGGAATGGAGCCCAGCAGAACTCCCCTCCTCTCTGTTCCCCATACCCCAGGCCAGAACTTGCATCAGCACCTCTAGCTAAATCTGAGTTCAGGGAGGTTTCCAATGAAGCCAGGTGCCTGGGCACCTTCTCCAGCACTCCTGGCGCCTCCCCATCTGCCTCAGTTTCCCCAGCCCTCGGTGCGTGAAGCCGTTGCTGTCCGTGAGCACCCTCTAGTGGGGGAATCAGGTTATGAACATGAGGCCTCGGATCAAGTTTCTGCTCTCACTGGAAACGCAAGGCGGGGGTGGGGGGACCCCAGAATCACTCTGCAAAGTTCCGGGTTCCAAGGGCTCCACCCTTGAGGCCAGAAGCTGATCGGCTCTTTGAGGCCTCTGGCTGGACCAGGCGTGAGGAGGCCGCGCAGTCGAGTGCAGAGCCCGGCCCTGGGGGCCTCGGCCTGAGGGGTGCTGGGTTGGTCCCCATCCTGTCCGCATCCCTCCCTGCTGTGTGATTCAGGCGGGTCCTTGCCCGTTCTGGGTCTTCCGTCAGACCAGGCAAGGGCCCCCCGAGGCCAGAGATGGCTTCTGAGCATAATCTTTTTGCTTCTGTGGATCCTCGAGACCAGAGAGGGCCAGAGTGAGTGAATGGGTGGTGGTGGGGGGGAGGGCCACATCCTGGCCCCAGCAGCCTCTGGGGGTGTCCGGGTCAGGGCTGGCCAGCACCCCCAGGGCCCTACATGAGAGGCTCTGTGTAATAGCACGTGAGGCTACCTCGGCCGGAAGTTCTGACGACTCCCTGGGAGGATCCAGGACATGTTTTGTTCAGGGCAGATTCTGCTCAGAGACCGAGAGTGTCTTTGGCAATGATTTATCTAACACAGGTTCTCTGTGGGGAACTATGATTTATGCTATTAATAGTTCACAAGCCAATACTGTAAGGAATCAGTTCAGTTCAGTTCAGTTCAGTCGCTCAGTCATGTCCGACTCTGCGACCCCATGAATCGCAGCACGCCAGGCCTCCCTGTCCATCACAAACTCCTGGAGTTTACTCAGACTCATGCCATCCAGCCATCTCATCCTCTGTCGTCCCCTTCTCCTCCTGCCCCCAATCCCTCCCAGCATCAGGGTCTTTTCCAATGAGTCAACTCTTCACATGAGGTGGCCAAAGTACTGGAGTTTCAGCTTCAGCATCAGTCCTTCCAATGAACACCCAGGACTGATCTCCTTTAGGATGGACTGGTTTGATCTCCTTGCAGTCCAAGGGACTCTCAAGAGTCTTCTCTAACACCACAGTTCAAAAGCATCAATTTTTTGGTCCTCAGCTTTCTTCACAATCCAACTCTGTAAGGGATACTGTCTCTTAATAAGTCAATAAAGAAATAACATTGCTGTTGTTTTGTCACTAAGTCGTGTCTGACTCTTTGCAACCCCATGGACTGCAGCACTCCAGGCTCCCCTGTCCTTCATTGTCTCTTGGAGTTTGGTTGGTGATACCATCCAACCATCTCATCTGCTGCCCGCATCTCTTTTTGCCTTCAATCTTTCCCAGCATTGGGGTCTTTTCCACTGAGTCAGCTCTTCCCATCAGGTGGCCAAAGTATTGGAGCTTCAGCTTTAGCATCAGTCCTTACAGTGAATATTCAGGGTTGATTTCCTTTACCATTGACTGGTTTGATCTCCTTACGGTCCAAGGGACTCTCAAGAATCTCCTCCAACATGGCAATTCGAAAGCATCAATTCTTTCACGCTTAGCCTTCTTTATGGTCCAGCTCTCACATCCTTGTACTCAAAACCAGTTACATTATTGTTCCAGGCAAAGGGGAGGCAGGTGTAGTTAAGCTGTGCCTTTCTACGAGTTGGTTCTCTGTAGAGTCAGTCCATCCAGTTAAAAGCTGGGTATTGGCTGCTGGCTCAGGTCCCTTGCTAGTGGGGGTGGGCAAGGTGGGCTGTCAAGGTCATTATTCCGGGGCCCTGACGCTGCTCTCCCATAGTCTGTGTGCGGGAGGCCCTTCAGGGCAGGAACAGCTATTTCCTCCCTTCCTGAGATGGCTGCATGCTTTCACAGCACTGCTGACCGGGAGTGGCCTGGCCATGGCTGGAGCTCTCAAGATCTTTGGAGAGCAGTGTAGGTCAGCCAAGAGTCTCCTTGCCCAGGACCCACAGATTCTCAATATTTAAAGTCCAAATGTCCTTTGAGTCATTGTTCCTATCGAGAAGCCCCCCAGCAGAGCCTGGAGTCTGTCACCAGCTGAGCTTATCAGCCGTGAAAGGTATCGATGACGTCACCCCGGCTTGGCTTCCTCCATGTAAACTGACCACCTTTAGATCAAAACAGCTTCACTTAAGTCGTAAACAAGCCGATTGGAAATCACAGCGAATCAATAACACAGCAAAGCACAATACGGCCGGGTGACAAAGGGGGAGGTGGGGCGCCTGCCTCCCAGGCGCTCGCCCGTGGTGGTGAGTCAGGATGGACTCGTGATCGTCTGTGTGGTCACGGGACTTGAAGCTGCCTTTCTGGGTGGGTACCGGGAGGCAGGGTGGGCTTCAGGGAAGAGGTGCCATTTGAGTCCAGTGGGAGCTTTGAGGAGTATGGTGAGCTGGCAGGACCTGGAGCCCAGAGCCTGGGCAGGACTGGTAACCGGGGCCGTTTGTGGCCAGGAGAGGGGCTTGCAGGGGAGAAGGGGGACTGAGCATGAAGCTGCTCTCACAGTGGTTGAAGTCAGATGGCTGTGTGGCTTTTGACTGGCCACTTAACCTCTCTGTGCCTCCGTTGGGTCGTCTGTAAGATGGTGATGCAAATAGCGCCAGATGGACTAGGGATGTGTAGGAAGATCTCGTGAATATTCCCAACCTTAGCTGCCCCGGGAAGGAAGCCCCGGGGATCTGGCCGAGCCCCACCCCCATCCCGCAGGCCCGTCGTATTGCCCGCCTCTGACCCCGCTGCTCGTGTGTGTGTCGGTCACAGGGGCGGAGGAGGTGCTGCTGCTGGCCCGGCGGACGGACCTGCGGAGGATCTCGCTGGACACGCCGGACTTCACGGACATCGTGCTGCAGGTGGACGACATCCGGCACGCCATCGCCATCGACTACGACCCGCTGGAGGGCTATGTCTACTGGACGGACGACGAGGTGCGGGCCATCCGCAGGGCGTACCTGGACGGGTCGGGGGCGCAGACGCTGGTCAACACCGAGATCAATGACCCTGACGGCATCGCGGTCGACTGGGTGGCCCGCAACCTCTACTGGACCGACACCGGCACCGACCGCATCGAGGTGACGCGCCTCAACGGCACCTCCCGCAAGATCCTGGTGTCCGAGGACCTGGACGAGCCCCGCGCCATTGTGCTGCACCCCGTGATGGGGTAAGGCTGGGAGGGGGTGCTGGGAGCCAGGCCGAGGGGGGCCGGGGGTCCCGGAGCTTTCTGCCCTTCAGGGGGAAACGGATGTCTGCTTAGGAGAGCTCACCCTTCTAACAAGCTCCCAGGTGATGGGCTGATCTGGGAACCAGACTGAGAAGCTCCACCACAGAGCTTGGTTAGGTTTATAGAAAACCCTAGAGACCTTGGGTAAGTCATTTCCCACCCTGGGCTTCAGTCTGCTCACCTGTGAGATAGAGCTGTCCACCATGGTGATTTCTGGGCCAGCAGTGGCGACGAGAGTGCCGGCCACCGAAGCCCTTACTCTGCACGTGCCGGGTCTCCTACACATGTCCGTCTTGCCCTCACCTTCTGGGGTAGGCCCACTGGGGGGACGCTGAAGCCCAGAGAGGTTCAGTGACTTGCCCAAGGTCACACAGCTGGGAGGCGGGACTTGGACCTGGCCGTCTGGTTCCAGCTTTCCCATGGCAGAGGCTGTGAATCTTGTCCATCGGGGTAGGAGTCTTTCTGAGACCCCTACCCACCCACCCCAGCAGCTCCGAGGGTAGCAACTGAGCACCTTCCTGCAGCTTCATGACCAAGAGCATGAAACTGGCCTTCCCTAAGTCGGGGGGTGGGTGGGGAGCCCTGAGAGCGCTTGAGGGCTGGGGTTGGGGCTGCAGGGAAGCCCCCTGCCTTCAGTGTGGGATGGGCCCCCCTCACTGGGCCCAAATCCTGGGGCCGGCCTGGAGGAGCTGGGAGGGCCGCCCTGGGAGGCAGCCCCAGGGGCGATCACTGAGGTGGTAACTGAGCGGCACTGGCCGTAACCATGGTAACCGGAGCCCCTAGGGGTCTCCAGGTGCTCTTCCTTTTTCCCCTGGGGCTGAGGCTCCGGGTGACCTGACCCGCAGGGGGCCTAGTGGCCTGCAGGCTTGCAGCCCACCTGCCTGGGGAGCCTGCGCTCTCAGCCCTGCTTCCTGTGGAGCTGCCTCTGTCTCTAGAAGCCCAGCGGCACGGTCCTCGGGGTGGTCACAGGGCTGTGGCTGGACAGGCCCGGACCTCGCGCCTCGAGCACCGCGGAGCCCGTGGTGGGGCAGGCCGGCAGACAGACGCGGCTCTGTACAATCTGCCAGGGTGCAGGACCGTCCCTCGGGGAGGGCAGGTGGGCACGAGAGGCCAGTCCCCTGGGTCTGCGGGGCAAGGAGGCAGGAGCTCGTCACCAGTGATGGGACCCGGGCTGTGGGCCGGGGAGACGGGGACCTGCTCCCCCCACCTCTGCCCTGATGGAGGCTGTCAAGTCAGTGCCTCTGCTGGCCTCACTTGGGGGCCTCGTCCTCCCCGGTGAGATGGGGTCGGGTCCTTCCCAGCGCTGGGTGTGCTCAGGGGACAGCTCTGGATGCTTCCCTGGACTGAAGCGTGCACACAGAGACACACACGCACACACACCCCTGCCACCAGAAAGCCCAGCCACCGCGCGCATCTCACTTTGTTTCTGGGACAGCAGACAGCCTGTTGCCTGATGTGCTTGGCACGTGGGGCCCTTGAGCTACTTGAAGGAGGTTCTGCTCTGCCTCTCTCCCTCTGGGCGCTCGTTCCCTGCGGCCCTGGGACCTCAGCGGGGTGTCTGCTGGCTGCAGTCCCAGAGCCTGCCTGGTTAAGCCCCTGCGGTTCCCCGCGGAGCCCCTGGGGCTGCCCACAGGCTCGGGCGTGATGAGGGTGGGCGCCATTCTCAGTCCCAGGGGTGGACCCGGGACATGCCGGACGGGCAACCTCACGGACGTATGCTTCTTCTCCAGCCTCATGTACTGGACAGACTGGGGGGAAAACCCCAAAATCGAGTGCGCCAACCTGGACGGGCAGGAGCGGCATGTTCTGGTCAATACCTCTCTGGGCTGGCCCAATGGCCTGGCGCTCGACCTGCAGGAGGGCAAGCTCTACTGGGGAGATGCCAAGACGGACAAAATCGAGGTGAGCGTCCCCATCAGGGGTCCCCAGCTGTCCTGTGGAGGTGGGGGCCTGGCCCGTCAGCCCCTGACCCTGGGCCTCTCCCCCTTCCTGGGTCCTGCCCGGAGCACAGGGCAGACCTTCCTGGCATGTTTTTCAGTGGTGAAGGGCTGCAGGGTGAGCTTTCTGGAGGTGCCCTGAGCCTTCCCGGAGACTGGGTCGTGGGAAGCACGTGCCAAGCACATGGGCTGCCCCCTCTTGGGTCTCGGAGTTTGCCTCTGAGCGCCCAGTGAGCACAGGCTCTGCTGCAGGTCTGGGTAGATGTGCCCAGCAGACACTTCTGCGTCTTTCACGCCAAGTCGCTTCAGTCGTGTCCGACTCTGCCGCCCCACAGACTGTAGCCTGCCAGGCTTCTCTGTCCATGGAATTCTCCAGGCAAGAACATTGGAGGACGGGAGTCCTCCTCCAGGGGATCTTCCCGACCCTGGGATTGAACCTGCATCTCTTTTATCGTCTCCTGCATTGCAGGTGGATTCTTTAGCCCTGAGCCACTGGCTTCTCCTGTGCGCCCCTCAAAGGATGAATTTCACGAACCTTGGGGGTTAGGCCGTCAGCTCAGGTGCGGACACCCCTCCGGGGGTCCCATGGAGTCGGGGCTTCAGGAGAGCAGCCTTGGGTGAGGGGCCGCATCTCCTTTCCTGACAGCGTCATCAGACTCCAGGCAGGTGGGACGGTCAGGGGAGGCCCCCCTCCGGGGCAGCCCGGTGACGGGGCGGCTTCCGGCAGTGGTTCTGTCTCCAGTGCCCCCGCCAGAGGCTAAGGCACAGAGCATCTTCTCTGGCCTGTCTGGCCAGATTGCCTTGGAGGGGAGAGAGGATTCCTTCAGCATGGTCGCGCCCGTGGCCTGGCTCCGAGCTCCGAGCCGGGGCACTGGCGGAAAGGAGCGCTGCATGGTCAGCTGGCTTCCCTTTGAAGCCGGCGGTAGTCCGGCTCCTGCTTCATGGGGCAGCTGTGGCGGGTCCCCCGGGGTGAGCAGGAAGGAGAGCGAAGCTCTGGAGCCCACGAAGCATGGATTCCTCTGGCTTCCACTGGCCGGCGGTGGCGGCACATGGATGGATTTGTGGAACAGCGTCCAGACCACGGGAGGGGGCTGCGAAACCTTGCAGGTGGGCCTCCTGCCGCCTCGTCTGTGACGGCATCCTGGACGGCAGGGTCAGGCCAGCCCAGGTCAGCAGCCCCTCGGGGGCTTAGCGCAGGGCAGCTCCCAGCGTGGGGTGCGGGTGGGGAATGGGCTCGGGGCCGGCTCGCTCAGGGAGACAGCCCTGAGGGTGCCCTCCCCAGCCTCGGGGGCCAGAGGTGGACTGGTCAGTCAAGACTGGAGCCATCTGGGGTGGGGGTGGGTGCGGGCGTGCCTCCCTGCAGCCCCAGAGCTGCCTGTGCCGCCTGCCCTACTGACTTGGGTCTGGAGTTCCCCTGCGGCGCCTCCTTAACTCTCGTCCTGAGTCTGGAGCCCTTGGGGTTGGAAGTTCCTGCCACCGGTGCTCAGCCCTTCCTGTGACTCCAGCCGCACCCGGGGCCCCGGCCTCTCACCCTCTTCCTGCACCTTTTCCCCTCCCGCCCCCAGCCAGGCTCCCAGCTCCTACCCCTCCGACCTGCCCCTGCTCTCTTGCGCCACGAGATTCAGCTTTATTGGTAAAAGTATCTGGGACTTGCTGGCTCCTTATTTTGTCTCAAATCATCGGCCCCTTTGGCCCAGCCTCTCCCTCCTTTCTCTCTGACCTGCTTCTTAGTAGACGCCAAGCTTAGTGAGGGTTCTCCCCGAGGCGGATCCATCCATCCAGAGCTTGTTCTCGAGCCCACATGCTCAGCTGTCCCGGCTCTCTCCCCTGGAAGCATCGGTTCTTCGGCACTCAGCCTTCTTTATGGTCCAGCTCTCACATCTGTACGTGATGTGGAACAGCCAGAGCTTTTGACTGTATAATGAAATACATACCCGTTGATGGATCATAGCCTTGTTGTGGCAAATGGACTTGCAGATTTCATTATATACATATGAGTGTAATAAGAATAGAAATAAAGTGCTCAATAAATGTAACGTGCTGGAGCCATCCCCTGACCCTGGCCTGTGAAAGGACTGTCTTCCACGAAACCCGTCCCTGGTGCCAAAAAAGCTGGGGACCATTGAAATAGAGGCAGGGGTCCCGCCCTTTATTAATCCTGAAATGGGCAAAGCGTTCACACAGCCCTGTGCACACACTGTGATCCGGCAAGGTCCCTGGATGGCAGTCTGAGCCATTCCTGAAGAAGAGCAAGGCCGAGCCTTGCCCTCTGTGGCCTTGCGGTATCTTCTAAAGCTTCCTCCCTAGCGGCTTCCCTGGCGGCTAAGACAGTAAAGAATCTGCCTGCAATGCTGGAGACTGGGATTCGATCCCTGGGTCAGGAAGATCCCCTGGAGAAGGGAATGGCCACCCGCTCCAGTGCCTGGAGAATTCCGTGGACAGAGGAGCCTGTTGGGCTACCGTCCACAGAGTCACAAAGAGTTGGACACGACAGAGTGAATAACCCTTTCAGTTTCACTTCTCCCCAGGGTTGCTCTGACTCCGGGTGCAGTCTCATGGGCCGCCCTCATAGACCTGTTTTGGCCCTTTTTTGGGGCGGGAGTTTTCCCTTTTTTTTGGTTACCTGGCACTTGCTGGAGGCCCCAGGGTTCACCCGGACTCCTTGCGGCTCCCCCCACCCCCACCCCGATGTCTTACTCAGCCAGGACCCTGGGGAGCTGGTGTCCGTGCAGCTGACATCTGCTGGTGGTCATCTGCTGTCAGGGTGGGTGCTCGTGGGAAGTACCCCGCGGGGATAGACACACCCGGGGGGCAGGTGGGCCAAGGAGGAATCACAGACTAAGATGAAAATACACTCCGTCCCCCTGCTCCTGACATTTCCTGAGTTGGTGGAGGTGATCTCCAGCACACGTGGAATAAACCTGCATTGGAGGAGTGGCGGATGGGCTGTGTGTCCAGGTCCATGAACCCTGGGGAAGAAGGGTGCAGGAACCCTGAGCAGCGGGGCCACAAGCTCTGTGGGTGTGCGTGGGTATATGTGTAAGATCTTTTCAATTACTGTGATCCGGCAAGGTCCCTGGATGGCAGTCTGAGCCATTCCTGAAGAAGAGCAAGGCCGAGCCTTGCCCTCTGTGGCCTTGCGGTATCTTCTAAAGCTTCCTCCCTAGCGGCTTCCCTGGCGGCTAAGACAGTAAAGAATCTGCCTGCAATGCTGGAGACTGGGATTCGATCCCTGGGTCAGGAAGATCCCCTGGAGAAGGGAATGGCCACCCGCTCCAGTGCCTGGAGAATTCCGTGGACAGAGGAGCCTGTTGGGCTACCGTCCACAGGGTCACAAAGAGTTGGACACGACAGAGTGAATAACCCTTTCAGTTTCACTTCTCCCCAGGGTTGCTCTGACTCCGGGTGCAGTCTCATGGGCCGCCCTCATAGACCTGTTTTGGCCCTTTTTTGGGGCGGGAGTTTTCCCTTTTTTTTGGTTACCTGGCACTTGCTGGAGGCCCCAGGGTTCACCCGGACTCCTTGCGGCTCCCCCCACCCCCACCCCGATGTCTTACTCAGCCAGGACCCTGGGGAGCTGGTGTCCGTGCAGCTGACATCTGCTGGTGGTCATCTGCTGTCAGGGTGGGTGCTCGTGGGAAGTACCCCTCGGGGATAGACACACCCGGGGGGCAGGTGGGCCAAGGAGGAATCACAGACTAAGATGAAAATACACTCCGTCCCCCTGCTCCTGACATTTCCTGAGTTGGTGGAGGTGATCTCCAGCACACGTGGAATAAACCTGCATTGGAGGAGTGGCGGATGGGCTGTGTGTCCAGGTCCATGAACCCTGGGGAAGAAGGGTGCAGGAACCCTGAGCAGCGGGGCCACAAGCTCTGTGGGTGTGCGTGGGTATGTGTGTAAGATCTTTTCAATTACGTGAATCAAAATAACCAGGGCAGTTTTAATTTGGGGTTTTATGTGAATATAGTTATTCCACCAGAGAGCAGAACTCTTTTTCCTTGGTTTTTTTTTTTTTTTTTCAGTTTTCTTTTTTTTTTTTTAAATGTGGGCTATTTCTAAAGTCTTTATCAAATTTGTTACAACACTACTTCCTTTTTCTTAAAAATGTTTTGGGAATTTTTTGGCCTTGAAGCATGTGGGATCCCAGTTCGCTGACCAGAGATCGAATCCACACCCCCACAGCGTTAGAAGGCAAAGTCCCACCCACTGGACCGCCAGGGAAGTCCCTCTTTTTCCTTTAAAAGTTGTGCTTTCAAAGTATTGGTCCTGGGAATCACACCCCTTTGCATGGCTAAGTGCTGGAAACAGCATTCAGTGTAAGGAAAGTGCACGTCAGGGGACGTTTTGGGGTCCTCTGGTTTGTGGGTGGCCATGCAGACCCCACAGCCTTGTTGTGGCAAACGGACTTGCAGATTTCATTATATACATATGAGTGTAATAAGAATACACACATGTCCTGCCCCTTGGACATGGCTGAGGGTGGGCTTCTCTGGGGTCTGCCCACCCTTCCTCCCATCGCACAGCTGTTGTTCTGCAGGTCATGCAGTGAGCTGGTCGGGGGACGGGTGTGTTCTCCTGCCACCCCCCACTTCCCCTACCTCAGACCTGGGCCTGGTGTATGAGGTCAGCTGAGCATAGGAGGCCGGAGGCCTAGAGGTCAGAGAGAGCACGCTGCACGCGGGCCCCTTCCGCATCTGGCTTGGCCATTTGGACATAACTTCCTGGAGGCATCTAGTTTCCTTTCCTGAAAATCAAGGGCAGGGGAACTTCTCCAGCAGGGGTTTAAAACTGTGGACTGGAGACCAGACTGCCTAATTTGTGCCACTATCAAATGCTTGGTGGTTTCTACACTTATCTTTTTGCTGACCTGTGTGGCTTGTGGGATCTTAGTTCCCTGACCAGGGATTGAACCTAGAACCCCAGCAATGAAAGTTCTGAGTTCTAACCACTGGACCGTCAAGGAATTTCTTACACTTTTAAATAAAAACAGTCAGAGTAGTATCTCGTGGCATGTGAAATTTATATGAAATTCCAATTTTTTTGTTTTTATTTTTTGTTTTTGTACAAATGAAGTGTTATTGGGACATGTTCCATTCCGCTCAGTCTTGTCCAACTCTTTGTGACCCCATGGACTGCAGCACACCAGGCTTCTCTGTCCATCACCAACTCCCGGAGCTTACTCAAACTAATGTCCATTGACTGGGTGATGCCATCCAACCATCTCATCCTCTCATCCCCTTCTCCTCCTGCCTTCAGTCTTTCCCAGCATCAGAGTCTTTTCTAGTGATTCAGTTCTTCGCATTAGGTGGCCAAAGTATTGGAGTTTCAGCTTCAGCTTCAGTCCTTCCAGTGAACATTCGGGACTGATTTCCCTTAGGATGGACTGGTTGGATCTCCTTGCAGACCAAGGGACTCTCAAGAGTCTTCTCCAACACCACAGTTCAAAACCATCAATTCTTCGGCGCTGAGCTTTCTTCATAGTCCAGCTCTCACATCCGTACATGACTACTGGAAAAACCATAGCTTTGACTAGACAGACCTTGTGGCAAAGTAATGTCTCTGCTTTCTAGGTTGGTCATAACTTTTCTTCCAAGGAGCAAGCGTCTTTTAATTTCATGGCTGCAGTCACCATCTGTAGTGATTTTGGAGCCCCCCAAAATAGTCTCTCACTGTTTCCATTGTCTTCTCATCTATTTGCCATGGAGTGATGGGACCGGATACCATGATCTTAGTTTTCTGAATATTGAGCTTTAAGCCAACTTTTTCACTCTCCTCTTTCACTTTCATCAAGAGGCTCTTTAGTTCTTTGCTTTCTGCCATAAGGGTGGTGTCATCTGNGGACAACTGAGATGGGGAGGGCGGGGGCAGGCAGAAACGGGGAGCTTCTTCTGGGCAGCGTCCGCCCCCCTCAATGGTCCTGTGTCTTCCGTGGGCTCACGTTCATCATTCCTGAGCTGGGAAAATGTACTTCTTTACCTCAGTCAACAGAACGTGTGCTTACTTATGTCTGCTGCTGCTGCTAAGTCACTTCAGTCGTGTCCGACTCTGTGCGACCCCATAGACCGCAGCCCACCAGGCTCCCCGTCCCTGGGATTCTCCAGGCAAGAACACTGGAGTGTCTGGAATGGAGTTATTAAAGGAAATGAAGAAAATGTGGACCCAGAGAAGGACGAGAAAAGTCTCCAGAGAGATACTGCTGACCCTTCAGCGTATAGCAGGCGGCGTCTTTAGGTTCCAGACGTGGGTTGTTTTTGTGGTTCTGATCTGTATCCACAGCCCTTGCCTAGCCCTGGGTATTCAGTGTCAGAGAAGGAGTGGGTGTGTTGCCTGTGTGTGTGTGTGAGTGTGAGACGGACCGTGTGTTCTTGAAGACGCTCTTCCTCTTGCTATGCACTCCCTCAGGTGAGACCCCTTTCCCAGGTCCAAGTTCTGTGTGAAGCGTGTGTTCACCATCTTTATGTGCCTTCGTGTGGTGGGGCCAAAACCAGAACCAGCACCCTGCACCAGCTTGGGAGTGTTCCTGCATCCATCGCCTGGCCCCTGGGGCTAACACGCCGGCCAGAAGTGGAGCCCAGAGCTCTGCACAGAAATCCTGCCGCCCGAGGTCTGCACGCCAGCTCGTGACACAAGAGATGGTCCCTCACCTGGGCGGCTCGTTGGAGCCCCCATGGGGGCCCGTACCTGGCCTTCTAGTTCTGATGTAATTGCCCCTGGTGGGGGCCCAACCACAGTAGTTTGATTAAGTTCCCAGGGGGACTGAGCTGCTCCCCTTCATTATAGGTGGACAGACTGAGGTCTGTGGGGTGCAGGGACTCGGCTGTGGGCAGAGGTAGTTTGATTAAGTTCCCAGGGGGACTGAGCTGCTCCCCTTCATTACAGGTGGACGGACTGAGGTCCGTGGGGTGCAGGGACTCGGCTGCGGGCAGAGCAGGGGTGGGCTCCCGGCTGCAGGGTCCTGAGCTTCCTGTCCCCCCTCCTCCACCGTTTGACCCAGCAATTTTGAGTTTCGCCCTGTGCTGTCCAACAACAGAGGACCAAAGTCGTCTCCGCTCAACACACACCCGATCCGTCTTACATGTATGCCACCTGCACAACAGAAGGCTTGGATCCTCTCTGATGAGCTGGAAATATAATCTGGCTGTAGGAGGCCTGTTGAGACTTGCCTTTAATTCATTGTGTCTCTTTGATCCTGGCCTGAAAGCCCAAGAGTTCGGATGTTGCGTTTTTATCATCTTCCTTTTCACATCAGCCTCTACGGGCTCAGCTGTCTCATCTTATCCTGTTTGTGTGTTTCGGTTGGTTAAGGCGTTCTTATGTTTGACAGTACTTTTCTCATCTGTGGCTTTTGTGGTTGATGCTTTTAATCAGCACTGACTCTTCAAGAAGATTTAGCTTTTACATCTCAGAGTTAACGACCACCAGTGTGTATCTGGGAGGGCTTCCCTGCTGGCTCAGCGGTAAAGAAGCAACCTGCCAATGCAGGAGATGCAGGTTTGATCCCTGGGTTGGGAAGATCCCATCGAATAGCAAATGGCAACCCTCTCCAGTGTTGTGCCTGGGAAATCCTGTGGACAGAGGAGCCTGGTGGGCTATAGTCTGTGGAGGTCACAGAAGAGTTGGGTAGGACTTAGCAACTCAACAACAAGTATGTCTGGGGTTGGATATTATCTTAGAGCTCTAGGCTTCAGACGTAGAACCAAAAGTGTCCTCAGAGTTCACCTGGTCCTGATTGAGCAAGAAGTTAGTCCACAGGCAAGTGGGAGGCCTTGTCTGGGGCCTGCAGTGCGTTTGTGGTCCAGCCTTTTGAAACTGGGCTCTGTGTCAGGGGTGGTGATCAGCGCCTTCTCGTGTTGCGTCTGGGCAGACATTGCTAGTCAATCAGTCTGAGACCCACACCTTGATACGCCAGTCGATCAGCAATGGTGATGCAGAGGATACCTGTTTGCCTTGCCTGCCTCTCTCAGCACAGCATGCACACCCAGGTCGGGGAGGCAGTAGGAAAGAGCCCCCGAACGGCTCTTCACTGAAGACATCATTCATCCAGCTGCCCCAGTGAGCCGTGATGCCCGGCCTGGCCAGCGGCAGATGCATCTGGGGCCTGTCCTGTTCCAGACCACTCAGGCCCAAGGCTGGCTCAGCCCCATGTCTGCCCTCCTGCAGGTGATCAATGTCGACGGGACGAAGCGGCGGACGCTTCTGGAGGACAAGCTCCCGCACATTTTCGGGTTCACGCTGCTGGGGGACTTCATCTACTGGACCGACTGGCAGCGGCGTAGCATCGAGCGTGTGCACAAGGTGAAGGCCAGCAGGGACGTCATCATCGACCAGCTGCCTGACCTGATGGGGCTCAAGGCCGTGAATGTGGCCAAGGTCGTCGGTGAGTCTGGTCAGCCTCCAGCCGGGGGTCAGTCCTGCCACAGGCTGGTGGCTGCCCTTTGGTCCACAGGCAGCCGAGCTGGAGGCTGAAGCTGGGGTTGTACGTGCTGGACTGGGGCACCCACTCTGGGGCTGGACAGGGCAAGAGATGGTGAAAATATGAGGACATATGATGGGGTGGGGTATGGACCGGGCACAGTGAGTGGGCGTGGCTGGCAGTAATTGCTCTCATGGTGGCTAACACTTATTGAGTGCCTGCTGTGTGCCAGGCTCTGGCCAAGCACCTTAGTGCTCAGAGCAGCCCTCTACACTAATGACAAGGCGGCCCTATTAGTGCTGGGGAGAGGGAGGCAAAACCTCATACAAATGGGCGATCAAGCTCAGGACTCAGCCTGGGGCTGCCCCGACCTCATTGCTGGGCTGGGCTGAGATCGTCGTGCAGTGTGACAGGCTGGACCCTAAAATGCACACCTTTAATCTAAAAGCTGGGATCTGCAGAAAGTTCCCTTAACACAATGACTTGTCTCTTTATGACTAGGATTCCCGATGCAAGTCCGCCAGCTACACTGGGGACAGTGGTGTCCAACTGCGCCCCGGGGACAGAAGTGGGGACGGGACAGTGGGCTCTGTGGGGACAGGGACTCTGTCCCCACCTGGGGCCCCTGTGCCGAGTCCTACGCCTTCTCATCAGAGACACTCAGTTAACCTTTGTCGGAGGGAGGGAGGGGGGACTGACCAGAGAGGCCCAGGGCTTGTGCTGAAGTTGCTTCTAGTCCAGTGGGTGAGACACTGCTTTGTCAGCTCTGTTGCCAGGCTGGTGATTAAAGCTGAGATGTGAAAGTGATGCCTGGCTTTAAAATGCAAGGGAGGGCATTTGAGCATGGGATTTGGGGAGCAGATGGGGGCAGGGTCTGCCTGGCAGAAGGGACAGCTGAGCAGGAGCCTGGAGGTGCGGCCTGAGGGCCACCTGGGGGGTGGGGTGGGGATGGTGCACCCCTGTCTCCAGGAGAGGCCTTTGGTCTCAGCCTACCCTCCTGAGACCAGATAATGTAATCAGCACACTTGGTTTACCAGCCGCCTTGGAAAACACATTCATTATCTATGGCAGAGCGCGAGGCCCACCAGCAAATGGGTGTTTGAAAAGCAAAGAATAAAACCACAGAGATAAGAAAAATGATGCCTCCATGGGGTGTGATTTAAAGTTGAGAAATTGGGTCCCTTCCCACCTTCTTTCTCTCTCTTGTCGGGATTTACTGAGAAAGATGGCAGAGAGGATTGCTTTTTTTAGCTGAAATATTTAACACGAAATTAAAGCCAATTTTAACAGCACTGCAGCAGAGTGAGTCTAACAGGCTGGCCCAAAATAAAATGTATGCTGACTACTGTCTGTTGGAATAAGAAACAGGCGCCTTGGGCCGTCCTGGGTGAATCTCAGATTTCGAGGGCGCTGAGAATGTCGGGGACTCAGAGGAGGAACCATCCGGGTGGTGACCTGGGCTGCAGTCTGGTCAGCAGGCGGGGAGGCCAGGCCCAGTGGGGAAGGGGGAGCAGAGGGCTGGGTGTCCCTGTCGCCTTGAGGATGGAGGCGTTCAAGTGTGCAGGGAGGCCCCGGGCCCAGAGCCTTGCTCCGTCCTGTCCTTGAGCCAGCGGGGAGGCCCTGGGTTTCCGCCAACCCTCCCTGCTGTCCCCTAGAGGCATCTGGAGGAAATGAGGCCACATACACCAGGGAGCCAGCGCCCCCACTTGCAGGGCCACTGGGGCCTAGAACCTGTGTCTTTCCATCCAGGAACCAACCCGTGTGCGGATGGGAACGGGGGCTGCAGCCATCTGTGCTTCTTCACGCCCCGCGCCACCAAGTGCGGCTGCCCCATCGGCCTGGAGCTGCTGAGCGACATGAAGACCTGCATTGTGCCCGAGGCCTTCCTGGTGTTCACCAGCCGGGCTGCCATCCACCGGATCTCCCTGGACACCAACAACAACGACGTGGCCATCCCGCTCACGGGTGTCAAGGAGGCGTCCGCCCTGGACTTCGACGTGTCCAACAATCACATCTACTGGACCGACGTCAGCCTGAAGGTATGGCGGTGGGGTGTCCTGCTCTTCACTTCTCCTCTGAATACCTGCCAGCAATGGTATCGCCTCAGAGGCTTAAAAAAGGCTTTCTTTTTTTTAATAGATTTTCTTTTTTGGGGGGGCCATACCGTGTATGATCTTAGCTCTCCGATCATGAAGAGAGCACAGTGCATGATCCCCCTGTGGTGGGAGCACAGTCTTAAGCACTGGACCACTGGGAAGTCCCTTAATATATTTTTTAGTGGTGTATTTATTTGGCTGGGCCAGGTCTTAGTTGTGACACTTGGGATTTTCAGTCTTCATTGTGGCAAGCGGGATCTTTGGTCTCAGCCTGTGGGATCTAGCTCCCCGACCAGGGATTGAACCCAGGCCCCCTGCATTGGGAGAGTGGAGTCTTAGACCCTGGACCAACAGGGAAGGCCCAATAGTTTTGTTCTGTTTTTTTTTAACGGAAGTCTAGTTGCTGTACAATGTCAGTAGCAAGTGCCCTGTATAGCGGTTGACCATTTTGAAAGGTTATACTCCATTTATCACTAATAATATATTAATATATATTAATAAATTATCCATATACTGGCTATATGCTCCAAGTGGTCCAGTGTATCCCTGTAGCTTATTTTATACCTAGTAGTTTGTACCTTCTATTCTCCTACCCTGATGTTGCCCCCATTCTCTCTCCCCACTGGTAACCACTGTATCTGTGAGCCTGCTTCTTTTTTGTTATATTCACTAGTTTGTTACAGTTTTTAGATTCCCATATAAGTGATATGCTACAGTATTTGTTTTTCTCTGATTTATGACAAAGCATAATCCCCTCCAAGTCTGTGCATGTTGTTACAGATGGCAAAATTTCTTTCTTTTTTATGGCTGATTATAAAAAATTAAAAGAAAAAAACTGTAGGGAGTTCCTTGGTGGTCCAGTGGTTAGGAATCTGTGCCTCCACTGCAGGGGGCACAGTTTCCATCCCTGAGTCGGGGAACTAAGATCCCACAAGCTGCAGGGTGCAGCTAAAAATAAATAAATTTTTAAAAATTAAAGCAAAAATTAAAGAAGTATTTATAATGGCTTGGTTCAAACCAATAGAACACTAGTGAACCCCTGTTAATACCTAAGCATAAATGATTACAGTGAGCAGATCCAGTGGACACACAGGTGGCCGTTTCTAGAGTGATTATGTATCCATGTGTCTTTTGATTCATCCCATTCACTCCCTCACGAGTGCCCAGTTACTTAACAAACTTTCTTTGTTCTGGGTGCTAATGTAAATATCCTGGATAAATGCAGGAGAGCCTCCTTTATCTTTTCAAGTAGAGTTTGGCAAACTGGTCCTTGGGCCAGCCTCCTCATTTTGTCAGTCAAGTTTTATTCGAACAGTGGTACCCATTTGCCTGTGGATCGTCCGCACCTACTTTTGTGCCACTGTGCTTGTATGCTAATTCACTTCAGTCATGTCTGACTCTTTGCGACCCCATGGACAGTAGCCCTCCAGGCTCCTCTGTCCATGAGATTCTCCAGGCAAGAATACTGGAGCGGGTTGCCATGCCCTCCTCCAGGGGATCTTCCTGACCCAAGGCTTGAACCTGCATCTCTTGTGTCTTCTGCATTGGCAGGCGGGTTCTTTACCACTCGCGCCACCAGGTAGTGGCAAATCCATGTACCCTGTGATAACTGAAATATTTACCAAGAAAATCCTCTAACCCCTGTTCTAAAGCCCTGGACAACTGAAATGGTTTAATCATCTATCTTTTATTCTACCATTGGTATTGCATGGTTCGTAAGATTTTTTTCTGATTTTAAAAGTCATAGGGTTCACTGTAGAAAGGGAGAAAAATATCCAGGAAAAGTATAAAGAAGAAAATAAAACACCCACATCTCCATCATCTCGAGTCCGCCACTGATGTCATTGTAGTGCATTTCCTTGGATTTTTTCCCTATGTTATTGTTTCCATAATCAGTCATATGCTACATAGAATTTTGTATCCTGTTTTTTTGGTCACATAACATATTTTATCAAGCTATTACAAACTCTTTAACGTAATTCTTTAAATGTGTATTCTACCGTGCGTATATTTCTTAATCATCGCCTTATTTTAAATGGCCTTCCAGTTTTTTCCCAACTCTAAACTGTACCACAGTAACAGATGTGTCTGTGTGTAAGGTCTCTTTTGTATTTTCTTTGCTTTGAATAACATTTCAGGAGGAAGATTACTGGGTGAAAGATCCAATGATTTCTTTTTTAGGGTATAACTATGTTGAAGGGTCCTGAGACATGTATATATAACATAGCTTATATAATGATTTATTATTTTATAATTATGTACTATTATATAATATTTACATAGTTAAAGTATGTATCATATATATATACATATACATATTGCCAAATTGTTTCTTCTAAAAAGATTGTGTTTCAAAAGTTCCTTTAAAAACTCGAATATTGAGGGGGAATAATTAAAAGAAATAAAAAGAATAGAAACTCAAATGTTGCGATCTGGCCCCTCATCAGTAGCTGGTCAGTAGTTGCTCATAGTGGTTATGTTGGTCGGTAGTTGCTCCAGCATCACCTGGTGAGACGTCTGCCGAAACTCTGGTTCCTAACGGGTGGTCCTCTCCTCCTCCCCACTCCCAGACCATCAGCCGGGCCTTCATGAACGGGAGCTCCGTGGAGCACGTGATTGAGTTTGGCCTTGACTACCCGGAAGGCATGGCGGTCGACTGGATGGGCAAGAACCTCTACTGGGCAGACACCGGGACCAACAGGATCGAAGTGGCCCGGCTGGACGGGCAGTTCCGGCAGGTCCTCGTGTGGAGAGATCTAGACAACCCACGGTCACTGGCCCTGGACCCCACCAGAGGGTAAGGGCTGCTTTGCCAGCCCGTGCACCCGTGTCCCCGCCACCTCTCCACACCAGGCAGTGCGGTGATGCCCCGAGGCAGACAGCTGCCCACTGCCCGCCGACGCTGCAGTTCAGAGTAGTAATGACCGCCACTAGCTTGGAGGTGGCCGGGACCAGCAGGACTCTTGGGGGTCATCTGGTTCATTTCACAGTTGGGACACTGAGGCCCAGAGCAGAAGCAGGAAGAAAGGGAAGCGCCCGTATCAGGCACCGCCTAGGCCTTCCCAGGGGAGCCTCTTGTCGGAGCACCCAGGGGCCCTGCCAGGGTGGGTGTCTTTGTACCTGATTTCATGGATGCAGAAGCTGAGGCTTGGAGAAGCTCAGAGACTGAAGGTCACTGAAGGTCATGTCAGTGGGCCACGACCACTGAGCTTTTCCTCCTGGCCTCTTGCAGCCGCTTGACTGCAGTTTAAAACCTGCCTTGCAAGGCGCATGCTTTGATCTGTCAGGCAGCCTGGGGACCCTGTCCTGGGGCCAGAGGGCTGGGCGGAGTCTTCCTCTGCCTGCAGTGCTCACCCCCTAAAGCATCAGTGATGTGTAGGGAGCACCCCAAACCCTGCCTGCTGCATACTGTTAAGGAAGGAAGATTTCTGCAGAACAAAGGGAGAGGTCCGGATTTTAGTGAAAGAACCAGGAAACACAAGTCTGGGATGGAGGTTTCTTCCCCAGAGCTGCTGTTGAAGAGCCAGAAAAGATGTGGCGGTGGAGCCGAGTTCGAATCCCGGCCCTGCAAGGCCTGTTTGTTTCAGGCTCTTGTTTTCTTCCTTCTTTGAGGAAAGGGACTGTACGCCCTGATTGGCCCACATTCTCCTGTCCAGCCTAGTTAGTGTTTATCTCTGACATGGGGTCCCAGCCTGGATGTCCTGGCACATGGTCACCACGTTTGTGCACCTGAACAAGAATATCAGGGCTTGGTTGCAGGGGGGCTGCTCTGCGACCCCAGGAGCCAGGATGTAGCTCCATGGCTGCTCCTGGAGGGACAGTGGGGTGGTGGGGGGCTCCCAGGTCTCCTCCGGTCCCTGCTTCCTGCAAGATGCCTTCAGCACGGCCCAGGAGATGGCGGCAGGCAGGCTCCCTGCCCTGACTCAAGGGTGGACACGCTGACTGCACCCACCCTGCTCCTGTGTCTTCCAGCTACATCTACTGGACTGAGTGGGGCGGCAAGCCCAGGATCGTGCGGGCTTTCATGGATGGGACCAACTGCATGACGCTGGTGGACAAGGTGGGCCGGGCCAACGACCTCACCATCGACTATGCTGACCAGCGTCTCTACTGGACGGACCTGGACACCAACATGATCGAGTCATCCAACATGCTGGGTGAGAGCCGGTGGGTCCTGCCGGGAGGGGGCACCCCTGGTGGGGTGTTAGCCGCCTTCAGCCCCCAAGGCACTGTGCCCTCGGGCCTGCAAGGTGTGGACGGGCCCCAAGTGCTGACCCAGCATGCCACCCAAGGTGTCCCTTTTCGCCCCTGGTGCCATTGTATAGAGGCCCTGGTGCTGACAGCCAGGTCCTGGCTAACCCCAGGCCAGGATTCTAATCTGACCTGACATCACATAGCATAGGTTTGTGGTGATGGGGAAACTGAGGCCCAGGGAGGTCACAGGACCTGTGTAAGGTCACCGAGCGTCGCTCAGCCCCCAGGACCACATGCTCCATCTCTACCCGACCCTGAATTCCTCCTGGGTACCAGGCATCGTTCTGGGGCCACTCAGCACCCTGGGATTAGATTAAAAACAAACCCAGGACTTCCCTGGTAGCCCAGTGGTTAGGATTCCACCTGCCAATGCAAGGACACAGGTTCAGCCCCTGGTCGGGGAAGATTCCACATGTCGGGGGGCCTCTAAGCCCCTGGGCCCTGGGCGACTAAGCCCCTGCACCGCAGCTCCTGAGCCCACTCCCTAGAGCTTGTGCTCCCAACAAGGGAAGGGAGTGCTCCCTGCATACAGCAACCAGAGAATGCCTACAGGCAGCAGCAAAGACCCACCGCAGCCGAAAACACATAAATAGATAATAATTAAAAAGCCAAAAAAAAAACCAACCCTCATTCCATATCACCCAGTTGTGAGGGCAGGATTTGAACCTAGAACATGACTGGACTTCCTCATGGGGGGGCGGGGGGGGGGGAGGCTCTCTTNACCAGGTGGTGGAGCTACTCTTTGCAAATGAGGGAATTTGGCTTCCTTCCTTACCGCTGCTGCCGCCACCTGGGGTAGGCACAGTTGTACCCACTTTACAGATGAGGAGACTGAGTCCTTGGTGGGCCGAACCGCTTATCCCAGGTACTGTGTGAACAGAGCCAGGGCCAGAAGCTCTGTGTTCTGGTTTCTGCTCACAGGGGCCTGCACCCGCCCTGCACACTGACTGTCCTGGTTCATGGGGCCCGCAGCGAGGCTTGGCGGCGTCTTCGAGGCCACCACGCCAGCCCCGCAGGGAGTTAGGAGGGCTGGTGGCAGGTGGGGAAGACTGGTTGCTGCACAGCTGTGGTTGCCCGAAACAATTAGGCTCCCTGATTACCCCGGAGTGATGACACGCTCAGGAAAAGCAGTGAAAGCCCTGGAAACCCGCCCAGGCCTGCAGGTCGAGGGCAGTCGAGTGCATCCGGCCGGGCTGTTCGCTGCCGTGGCAGGTTTCCCACTGAACGGCACAGACGTGTTCAGAGCACTTGGTTAACAGCAGGGGAGGCCCCAGTGGGAAGAGTGCCTGTGTGTAAGAGCTGAGCATGGATCGTGAGCCTGGGGCTTTTCACTTTTTTCCTTTTTAAAAATCATTTTCAAAACATTATTTCAAATCGTGCCATAGATGATTTCCTTCTGCTTCCTCCTATTCCCACATAGGACTAGGAGCATGTCCGCACGTCTCTGATTTGTTTTCACGGGCTTCATTTTTTAAAAAAAATATTTATTTGGCTCTGCAGGGTCTTAGTTGTTGCACGAAGGATTTTCCTTCGATCTTTAGTTGCAGCACGCAAACTCTTAGTTGTGGCATGTGGGATCTAGTTCCCTGATCAGGGATCGAACCCCGGTCCCCTGCGTTGGGAACGTGGAGTCTTAGCCACTGAACCACCAGGGAGAGTCCCATCATTGGCATCATTTTTACCGTGAAATGGAACATATGTGTATATTGGTTTCCGCATTGACTCAGCGGTAAAGAATCCGCCTGCAATGCAAGAGATGCAAGTTTGATCCCTGGGTTGGGAAGATCCCCCTGGAGGAGGAAATGGCAACCCACTCCAGTATTCTTGCCTGGAAAAAATCCCATGGACAGAAGAGCCTGGCGGGCTATAGCCCATGGGGGTCACAGAGAGTTGGACACGACTGAGTGACTCAGCATGCACACGGAGCATATGTGAGGCGTTCGCACAGCATACACTTTGACAAGGGCAGACTTAGGAACCCACACCGGGGTCGAGGTCGCGTGTCTCTGGGCTCCGCACGTGCTCTCTCCCTCCTGCGGGGCCCAGCCCCCCTCTGCGCCTTTTCCACCGTGCGCCGTCCTCTCGGCCCTGAGCCTGCCTGTTGCCGCTGTAGCCCCAGCAGCTGCCCACACGTGTGTGTGTTCCGCATGTGGCTGCTCGGTGATCAGACCCTGGTTCATTTGACAAGTCGTCTGCTGCGGTGTTAGCCTGAGCAACCGTATCCCCACATGGGGTCAATGGGCTACAATCAAGGTGTGGGCCTGGCCCCCTCCCTTCTGGAGGCTGCTGTCTGGGCCCAGTGCCTTTTCCATCTTCTGGAGGCTACCTGCCTCCTTATCTCATGGCCCCTTCCTCCAACTTCAAAGCCAGCTCCTCTCACTGTCCTGTTCTCTCTACCCTTGTGTTTACACCGGGTATCCTGGGATAATTCAGGATCATCTCTGCAGTTCAGAATCTTTAATTTGGTCACACCTGCAAAGCCCCCGGCCATGTAAGGTATGATGTTCACAAATCCTGGAGATTAGAACGTGGACCTCTTTGAAGAAGAGGGAGTGAGTGAGTGAAAGTTGCTCAGTCGTGTCTGACTCTTTGTGACTCCATGGACTATACAGTCCATGGAATTCTCCAGGCCAGAGTGGGTAGCCTTTCCCCTTCTCCAGGGGATCTTTCCAAGCCAGGGATCGAACCTAGGTCTCCCACATTGCAGGCGGATTTTTTCCCAGCTGAGCCACCCAGGAAGTCCAAGAATACTGGAGTGGGTAGCCTATTCCTTCTCCAGAGGATCTTCCCAACCAAGGAATCAAACTGGGGTCTCCTGCATTGCAGGCAGATTCTTTACCAACTGAGCTATGAGGGAAGCCCTGGAGAAGAGGGAGGAGAATGTTATTCTGCTCATAACTTCTTGTTGTTCAGTTGCTAAGTTGTGTCTGAATCTTTGCGACCCCGTGGGTTGCAGCAGTCGGGCTTCCCTTTCCTTCTGTCTCCCAGAGTTCATATCCATGCCCACTGAGTAGGTGTTGCTGTCTAACTATCTCAGCCTCTGCCACCCCCTTCTCCTTTGGCCTTCAGTCTTTCCCAGCATCAGGGTCTTATTAATGAGTCCCACCCAGTTCCTCTGTCCATGGAATTCTCCAGGCGAGAATACTGGAGTGGGGGGCTTCCCAGGCGGCTCCGTGGTAAAGAATCTGCCTGCACATGCAGGAGCCGCTGGTTCCAGCCCTGGTCTGGGAAGACCCCACATGCCTCGGGACGACTAAGCCCACGAGCCAGGACTGTTGAGCCTGAGCTCTAGAGCCCGCGGCCTGTGCTCGGCAGCGAGAGAAGCCTGCTCACCGCAACCAGAGCATCGCCCCTGCTCGCCACAGCGAGGGAGGAGCCTGAGCCGCCGCGAAGGCCCAGCACGGCCAGAAACAGACAGATAAACACCAGGAGTACTGGAGTGGGGGGCGGTGCTCTTCTTCAGGAGATCCTCCCGACCCAGGGACTGAACCCGGGTCTCCTGCATTGCCATAATTTTTACCAAGCACTCGCTTGGTGCTGGCGTTTTGAACATTCTACACGCATTCTACATGGTCTCACTGAATATTTATCACAATGGTAATCACAGACCTCACTGATTTTTTATCATAATTTATTACTTTTAAGTATCATGGGTACCCATGAGGACATTTTGTTTTTCAGTTTGTTAGACTGCACCGGCTCTTTGTTGGCAGCATGAGGGATCTTTAGTTGCGGCCTCCCTGGTAGCTCACTGGTAAAGAATCCGCCTGCAATGCGGGAGACCCCAGTTCAATTCCTGGGTCGGGAAGAGCCTCTGGAGAAGGGAAAGGCTACCCACTCCAGTGTTCATGGGCTTCCCTGGTGTCTCAGACGGTAAAGAATCTGCCCACAATGCGGGAGACCTGGGTTCAATCCCTGGCTTGGGGCGATCCCCTGGAGAAGGGAAAGGCTACCCACTCCAGTGTTCATGGGCTTCCCTGGTGTCTCAGACGGTAAAGAATCTGCCCACAATGCGGGAGACCTGGGTTCAATCCCTGGCTTGGGGCGATCCCCTGGAGGAGGGCATGGCTACCCACTCCAGTATTCTGGCCTGGATAATTCCATGGACTGTAGAGTCCATGGGGTCACAAAGAGTCGGACACGACTGAGCGACTTTCACTTTCACTTTGTGACATCTAGTTCCCTGACCAGGGATTGAACCCAGGCTCCCTGCACTGGGACTGCAGAGTCTTAACCACTGGACCGCCAGTAAAGTCCTGAGGGCGCTCTGGAGATGCGGAGACTGAGGGTCAAGGGGCTTACACAGATTGCCCGAGGTCATGTGGTCAGTGGAGGAGCAGGGGGACCCAGGCTGACTCCGGAGCCTGGTTCCCATCTTACTGACATGCAGGGAGCTGAGGTTCTGCAAGCCTCATGATGTGGCCAAAATAAAATGAACTCTTTCTGACATACAAATACAGTAAAGTACAAAACAGTGGTCAGGTCGGAGAACTTTTACATCCCGATACTTGTACATCCATAGAAGCATCAACACAGCCAGTGCAGCTTCCATTGCAGATCAAAGCCAGGAAGCTTCCAGCCCCTGAAAGGCTCTTAGTCTACTATCTCACCGGCCTTCTCAGGGCTCACTGCTGCACTGATGTCTGTCTACATGCTCCAGTTGTGCCTTTGTAGAACTTTCTATCACTGACCATACGGCGCGTGCTCTTCAGCATCTGGCTCCTTTCAGTCTGAGGACTGAGGTTCACCCACGTTGTTATTCTGTCTTACTGCTGCGTCATTTCCATGGCACGAAGATCGTACCTTTTTTTAAACCCTTCCTACTGTTGA